GTCCCTCACGAGGTGCCTACCTGCAGAGCCTGGAGCCCAGCAGCAGAAGATGGGTGCTGGGTGGGGCCAAGCCACCAGATGAGGCCTGTTTGGGGCCTGGGGTACCTGGCAGCGGGGAGCCTGCAGGTGAGATCTGGTACAACCCCATCCCTGAGGAGGACCCCAGACCCCTGGCACCTGAGACCCCCAGGACACAGCCAGGCTTGGGGGAGCCGGAGGGTGTGGCCCCACAAGGTGAGCACAAACCTTACCCAACCCCCACCCTCGCTCCCCAAGATGACCACAGGCCTTAGCCCCATTCCAAGCCCATGTTGCGGAACCTTGAGGTCTGCTGTTCCCACAGGTGTGGCCCCTGCCAACTCCCCAACCAAAGCCTCCCGAACTAAGTCCCCAGGCCCCGCCAGGCGCCTCTCCATGAAAATGAGGAAGCTGCCGGAGCTGCGGCGCCGCCTGAGCCTGCGGGGCACCCGGGCCGGCCGCGAGCGCGAAAGAGCCGCCCCCGCGGGCTCCGTCATCAGCCGTTACCACCTGGACAGCAGCGTAGGGACCTCTGGGCGGGCAGCAGTGGCCGGGGGCTCTCGGGGACTGCTGGCCGGGTACCTCAGTGATGGTGACTCACCCGAACGCCCAGCAGGGCCCTTGTCGCCCACCGCCTTCCAGCCCTACGAGGTGGGCCCATCAGCCCGGGCGCCCCCGGCCGCACTCTGGGGCCGCCTCAGCCTGCACCTGTACGGGCTGGGAGGGCTGAGGCCGGCTCCCGGGGCCACCCCGAGAGACCTTTGCTGCCTGCTCCAGGTGGATGGGGTGGCCAGGGCCCGAACCGGGCCGCTGCGCGGAGGACCAGACTTCCTGCGGCTGGACCACACCTTCCACCTGGAACTGGAAGCTGCCCGGCTGCTGCGAGCCCTGGTGCTGGTGTGGGACCCTTGTGTGCGGCGGCACCGGCCCTGTGCCCAGGGCACTGTGCTGCTGCCCACGGTGTTCCGAGGTAGGATGCTTGGCTGCGGGGGAGGATCGGGTAGGGTATGGGTGCCCTGAGCACTAAGCCCAGTGTGGGGGTGTGGCTTAGAGTAGGAGGGCAGGGCACAGGAGCCCGTGGGGGCAGACTCCATTCAAGTCCCCTTGTGTCTTCAGGGTGCCAGGCCCAGAAGCTGGCTGTGCGCCTGGAACCCCAGGGGCTGTTGTATGCCAAGCTGACCCTGTCGGAGCAGCAGGAAGCACCCAACACAGCTGAGCCCCGTGTCTTTGGGCTGCCCCTGCAGCTGCTGGTGGAGAGGGAGCAGCCCCCCGGCCAGGTGCCCCTCATCATTCAGAAGTGTGTTGGGCAGATCGAGCGCCGAGGGCTGCGGGTAAGCCCCTTACCCCACACCCCAGCTAGCCCCAAAACCTCAGATTCCCTTCCCAGAATGCCCACTGTACAGAGGCCAGGCCTTCCCCCTGACCCTACCTTTAGTCCCAGCTTGGACAAGGCCCTAGACCATAGCACTCAGCCCAAAACCTATGGGTCATCCACCCAATTAGTGACACAGGATCCCAGGCCTCTGGAGTTCAGAGTCTCATGGCAGAAAGACATGACTCCAATAATAACTTACAAATGTAAAACTGTGGTTGGGATACGACTGAAGAAGCTGGGAGAGCTTAAAGCAGGACCTCACCTGCTGGTTGGGGTAGTCAGGGAAGGCATCCTAGAGGAGGTGATAAGTGAGCTGAGGAGGAGTCAGAAGTTCCTGAGTCAAAGGATATGAGTACCAGGACAAGTGATCCAAGCATAGGGTTTACAGATCCAGGTTGTCCACGTAGCCAGATAGGGACCCCATGACAGGTGTCAGAGGAGCAGGAAGGCAACCAATGGGGCTACAGCTAGCCCCCAACTTCTCAGCCTACTGCTACCCTAGCCCAGAACTCCAGCCCCCACTCCACTGGGCCCCAATCAGTTTGTGGCCCCAGCAAAAAAAAATCCCCTCTCTGCTCCCACACCCAGGTAGTGGGGCTATACCGTCTGTGTGGCTCAGCAGCTGTGAAGAAAGAGCTTCGGGATGCCTTTGAACGGGACAGTGCAGCTGTCTGCCTCTCTGAGGACCTGTATCCTGATATCAATGTCATCACTGGTCAGCATGCCTCTTCCCTCCCACACCAGCTACTCATTCAACCCTCACCTCATGGCAGTCCCCGTGGCCCCTCTGGGACCTCATGTCCCTGTGGCCCCTCTGGGACCTCACGTCTTCTGTCTGACCTTGTTTTCACCTTCCTGCACCTGTCCTCCTCCTCCTTCCCCCCTCTCAGCCCCAACTGACCCCTCCAGCACCAGAAGCCAGGGTTGCCCTGACCTGAGTGGGCCCTGTATCCACAGGCATCCTCAAGGATTATCTTCGGGAGTTGCCCACACCACTCATCACCCAGCCCCTCTATCAAGTGGTGCTGGAAGCCATGGCCCGAGGGCCCCCAAGCAGGGCTCCCCCCAGTGCTGAAGGTACCCGTGGGCTCCTCAGCTGCCTGCCAGATGTGGAGAGGGTGAGTTGGGCCCAGGTGGGAATGGGTAGGACAGGGAGTGGGCTGACATTAGTAGAATATTTCACCCATGCCTGAGCTGGTAATGGCCACAAGCTTGTGGCACCAGAAAGTAGGTGCTATTAGTATCCCCACTTCATAAAAGTGGAAACTGAGGCCCAAAGCAATTGAGTGAGCTACCCAAGGTTGCACAGCTAGGATATTTCAAAAACACAAATTCTAAATACAGGTCTGTCAACCTCCCACAAGGGAAGTTCCTGGTTATAGGATCCTGGACAAGTCCAGATCCTGGACAAGTCCGGGTCCTCTCTGTGCCTCAAAACCCTCATCTATAAAATAGGATTAATATCAACCCTGCCTAACACAGAGAGGAATGGGTTCAAGTCCAAGCTTTGCCATTCCAAAGCTGTTACCTTTGGTCTCCTCTCCAGCCAAATGGGATCATAATACTAATACCTAATGGTTAAGTCTTAGCTAGGTTATCTCCCAGCTAGTAGAACCTCAGTGTTCCCATTCTGAGCCCCCTTAGTCTCCCTCATGCCCTCCCAACCCTCTTTCCTCAGGCCACGCTGATGCGTCTCCTGGACCACCTGCGCCTCGTCTCCTCCTTCCACGCCCACAACCGCATGACCGCGCAGAACCTGGCCGTGTGCTTCGGTCCTGTGCTGCTGCCGGCGCGCCAGGACCCCAGCAGGCCCCGCATCCGCAGCTCTGGCCCGGGCCTTGCCAACACAGTGGACTTCAAGCGCCACATCGAAGTTCTGCACTACCTGCTGCAGGCCTGGCCAGGTGAGTCCGCCCCCGGCTCACGCCGCCAATCCAAGCCAGGCCGCCGCTCAACGCTTTTTCTGGCAGCCAATCAGATTCTCAGGCTTCAAACAAGCCACGCCCCCTAGTCAGAGTAAACCAGTACATGGTTGCCTCAGCAACCAGTTCAGATACAGCCAATCCACGCTTGACGCTGCTTCTTAACATGCCAATCAGACCAGTTGCCTAAGCAACCAGCTCAGCCAATGATATCGTGACCGGCCTTGTTACCTAAACAGCCAATCAGAGGCCTGGCTGCTACCTTTATAAGTAGTGTCATCAAAAGCCCTCCCTCTCCTCCTGCAGATCCCCGCAGGTCCTCGGAGGCCCCGGACCTGGCCCCGGACCTGCGGCCCAAACGACAGCCTCCGCTACACTTGCCGCTAGCAGCTCCCGAAGTAGTGACTCGGCCCCGTGGCCGGGGTGGTCCCGAGAGCCCCCCTAGCAACCGCTACGCCGGCGACTGGAGCGTTTGCGGTGGAGACTTTTTGCCCTGCGAGCGCGACTACCTTTCCGGGCCCGACTACGACCACGTGACGGGCAGCGACAGCGAAGACGAGGACGAGGAGACAGGCGAGCGAACGGGTGCCACCGACTTCGAGGATGATTTCGAGGCGCCCTTCAACCCGCACCTGAACCTCAAAGACTTTGATGCCCTCATCCTAGACCTAGAGAGAGAACTTTCCAAACAGATCAACGTGTGCCTCTGAGCCGGGCGGGGCGGGACCCCGGTTACTAAGGGCCGGGCTCCTGGTTGCTAAGGCAGTGCCCTAGCCAGGGAAAGGGACCAGACCTGTCTTTCCGCCTAGCTCCTGATTGCTGGGGAGCTGCCTAGCGACCAGCCAGCCAAGTGCTGGGATTTTATTTCTCGTTTCCAGCGCTAAATTATTTGGGTACTGGTTGCAAAGGCCAGGGACTGGGGATTTTGGGGACCAGCAGTTGTGGCCATCTTTTCTGAGTACCATCTTTTCCCGCTTGTTGGGCTGGCTGGCCTGTCTTGCCTCCCCTTGGCCAAGAAAACACCAGTTAATGTGAGCATCACCCTGGGATGGTTAAACGCCCCCCAGTCAATCCTCTTGCTGCTGCCAACCAAATCAGTATTAGCTTTAAGCACTGCACACTGCTTCTCCCTCCCTTAGAGGGTCCAAGGACTATGAGGAGGCACTATTTGGGGTGGGGCCAAGGGCAGCCCCTGCCTCAGCTCCAGCTGGATAGGGCAGCCTGGGGCTTATAGAAAAACAACTGGCTTCCCCACTCTCTCCCAGGGAAAACGCCACAATTGCCTTAAACCAGCAAATGGAGATAAGTAGAGGTTGGCCCTTCCCCTCCCCAACTCTTCCTCAGCATCCCTGAAAAAATTGAGCACTTAGAAGACCTCCCTTTTGGAGGGGCCCCACCTGAAGTGTCAGGCTGGGGGCACTTCGGTACGGAACATATTTATTGCCTCCGTGCGTGTGTGTCTGTGTGTGAGGATGAGTGTGTATGGACATGTCTGGAGCAGGAGTGTGGGGCTCTTTCAGGGACCGCAGCATGGGGAAAGAGTTCCCAATGCTGGGCACCCTGAAATCCCCAGTACTGGTGCCTCAGTGAGTCCTAGAGTTCCAGTGGGAGAGTAGGGTCCCCTCCTGTGTACCCCTCATTCCCCTCACTTCCATCTTTGTGAACAATAAATCAATATGCACAGGTTCTGGGATGAGTACTTGGGCCCACATGGACCAGAGGTGGTTTATTCAGTGTGTAAGAAAATAGGAGAGAAAGGGCACAATTAGGACCACAAGAAAAAGGCCCCAGAGCTTGCCAGTGCTTCCAGGGAGACTTTCTGAGCCCTGACCCCTCCAGCCCCTCCCTGACCTCAGGGAGGATTGTAGGGTCACTGGCCCCATGGGATAGGCCCAGGGGAGGCAAGGATGAGACTCCAGGCCCGCTAGGCAGTCCAGGGGTAGGAAGGCACCCACGAGGCCCTACACAGCAATGGAGCCATCGCGGAAGTCCGTCCTCCCAATGAGGACGTTGACCACGACTGGATGGCCATCTCGGCACTGTTGCTGGGCATCACGAAGCACCTTGGCCACCTGATCCTCATTCTCCCGTGAAAGCAGCAAGCCCTGGGCCCCCAGACCTATGGCTGCTTTGTGATAATCTGAAAAGGGAGGTCAAGTCAGATGTGACAAGGACCCAGCCCAACCATGTAGCCAGCCCAAGAGAGGAACACACACCCAGCCAAGCCCAAGCTGGGTATAGCCTCCCCCATGCCAGGCCCCTCACCAGTGTAGGCCAGGCCACAGGCCACATTGCTGCCCAAAGAGGGCACCTGCTCTCGAGAAATCTGGGTCCAGCCAGCATCATTCCCTATCAAGGCCATCACTGGGATCTGCAGGGAGAGGAGGAGGCCAGACCACAATATTCAGCCCCCAGGCTTGGCTAGCCAGAGGACACAGAGACAGACAGAAATAACTCTGTCCCCAGCCCAGCCCAGCCCCGATGACATCTCCCAGAACCCCAGGCTTCACCTGGGGCAGCCAGTTACCTTATGTCTGACAAAGGTGTCAAATTCGATGAGGCTGTACCCAAAAGCTCCATCCCCAAACAGGCACCAGACCTGAGGTGGTATAGGACATGGTTGGGATAGTTCATGGCCCAAAGAGAAGCAAGCCTCATGCCTCCAGTGCCCTGACTCACCTCAGCATCTGGCCGGCACAGTTTGGCCCCAAGTGCAAATCCTGCACCAACTCCCAGAGTCCCGAAGGCCCCTAGGAGAACCAAGAGCAGGTGGGTGTGAAGGGGACTGAATGGTACAAGCTACCCCAGGTGTAGGCCCTTCCTTACCAGGATCAAGCCAGCAGAGGGGGCCACGGGGCTGCACCACGTGGGCAGCAGTGCCCACAAAGTCCCCGCCATCCACCACCAGAATTGAGTTGTCGGGCAAAGTTTCCTCCACCAGCTGCAGCACCCGCACCGGGTTCAGGTGTTGGGCTACAGGCATCACCGCCTTCTCCCTGCAATAGAGCAGTGCAGGTCAGCAGGACCAGCAGCAGACCCTGCTGGGAACCCCTCAGCCTTCATGTCCACCAGCCCCCACCGAAAGGACTGCTCCTTCTGCTGGTCGGCTTGCCGAAGCTCCTCTGCCCAGTCTGAGGCCCATGTCTGGTCCTGAAGGCCCTCCACCAGCTTCAACACAAAGGAGCCCACATCTCCTGGGGAAGGAAGAGGGCACAGCTGCAGAGAGGTGGCCTCCTCCTGCCCTTCCAGTACAAGAGGCCCCAAGACAGCAGGAAGCCAACAGTAGCATTGGAGCAGGAGGCAAGGAGGCAGGCCAGGGGTGCTCCTTGGGCAAACTGGGAACACGCACCCCAGCGCCAGCTGGAATCAGGGTAGGGCAGCCAGGGTGACGCCGCCTGCCCCCATCATGCCTCAGATCAGGCAGTCCTATCAATCCTTCCTCTCTTTCACTAAAAACACCTCTATCTGCCAAGCATCTCTCTACAACCCAGGCACACAGAGTGCTTGTGAACAAATATACGAGCTGGTGATGATGTACTTTTCATCATCTGCATTCAGAAATGATCACCTGGAGGCTCAGAGAAGCTGCTTCTCCTCCCTGTCCATCACCAGGCCTTGTCATTTCTGTCCTGACCCTGTTTAACAGACCCCTTGATACCGCCTGGCCCTTCCAACTCCCTGCCCACCCAGCTGCTATAGCAGACCTTCCCAAATATGAATGCAACAGTGCCACTTCTCTGTTTAACACAGAGTTCCCTGTCACCAACACTGCAGGGAAGTCAATGTCCTTGGAACTATGAGCAAAGTGGGGCACAGAGAGGCCATGGGAGAGGACTGAAGAGGGGTGGAGGTTATGACAGGATGACAGAGGCCTCAGGGGCCAAGGAGTGAGCGCTCTGTCCTAACAGCAGCGGGCAGCATGAGAGGGTTTGCAGCAGGGGTCATGATCACATGCACATTCCCAGGCCTTCCCTCTGGTGCACACCCACATTTGTCCGTCAAGAAGCAACCATCAGTCTGAGAGCCAAATATACCCCATAGGGCAAGGTCCAGAACCCAAAATCCAACTCAAGCTAGCTGCAGCAGAGGCCGGGAAGAGAGGGCCCAGAAGGAGCACGTGTGGGGGGCATTAGGGGCTCACCCTGCACAGCCTCCTGGGGCTTCCAGAACATGTCTGAGTTGATCAACATATCTTTCCGGTTACGGTTGACAATGATGATCTTGCTGCTTCGGCTGAGGACACGGCCATAGGACAGGCGGAAGTCACACACAATTCCTGGGGTGGGATAGGGGAACAGTGGATGGATGGCCAGTGTCCTGGGAGGTGCCCATTACCGAACTTAACCCACTGGAGCACACTGAATACAAAAGGGTACCCATTCTTTTTCTTTTTAAAAAAATATATCTTTACTGATTTCAGAGAAAAGAAAGGAGAGGGAGAGAGAAAAACATCAATGATGAGAGAGTCATCAATCAGCTGCCTCCTGCATGCGCCCCACGGGAGGTCGAGCCCGCAACCCGGGCATGTACCCTGACTGGGAATTGAACCGTGATCTCCTGGATCATAGGTCAATGCTCAACCACTGAGCCACGCCGGCCGGGCAGGGTACCTGTTCTTTACCTCTCCCTGGACCCATGCCACCTGCAATGACTTTGTAGCTCCCCAGCCCATCCTGGGCTGGCCTCAGGATGTGCTTTGGCCAGCAGAATGTGTCAGGAGTGCTGGCATGCATTCCTGAGACCGGCCTTCAATATGCCTTGCAACTTCCACTCTCCCTCTCTTAAAATAAACTTGCTCCCCCAGCCCTACATGTTCCCCATCCTCCACCAAGTGAACCAGCCCAGGCCAGCCTGCTGGATGGTGAGGAACACGGAGGAGGAGATATAGGGAAGAGTGAGAACTCAGAATCCCAGCTGAGGCCATGCTAGCTCAGCTATAGCCCCAGCCAACCCCCAAGTATCTGAGCTAGCCCAGCCTGATTGGCACAGCTGCCCTCTTGCCTCCCAACCACAGACTCCTGAATGAGCCCTGCCAAAAGCAGAAAAACTACCACCTTACCTGTAGATGGACCTCTAGAAATAATAACTGCATTTTAAGGCACTGAGTTTGGGAATGGTTATAGCTATCAGCAATAGCTAACTGATACAAGTATTATGTGTCAGCAGACTTCAGAACACTTTATGTGAAAATGTATATGCCGTATGTGTACATGCTGTATAAAGTATAAATACTGTATAACACATGCAAATGCTGTGCAGAAAGTGCCACACTCTCTGTGTGTCCTCCTTTGGGCAAAGCTGAGTCACAGCACACAACTGCAACCTGGCAAGAGTTCACCTGAATTTCAAATTCAGAGTTGTTCAAAACCCTTGCCAGGAGAAGGGGTAGGGCCAGTGAGTACCAGAATAGTAGGGGCAGGATCACAGGGCAAGGGAGATCCTGGAGAGAGGAAAAGGGAAGGGTGAGGAGGCTGAGGCCCACCTGCCAGGAGGACAACGTCTGCCTTCTTCAGGGCGGCACTTCGGTTCTGCCGGATGTGGAGGGGGTGGTTTCGGCCCAGCAACCCTCGTGCCATCCCACCCAGGAAGCAGGGGACACCCAGGGTCTCCACGGCAGCCCTGCAGGTCCAGGTAAACAGAGGTAAGTATGGCCAAGGGCCTGCCCATCCCCACAGGGCACCAGGGGACCAGGGATCAGGAATGTGACAGTAAAGGCAGGGCTAAGGCTTCTCACCGAAGCTTGTCTGCAGGTGTCGGGGGCAGTAGGGCCTGGCTCCCCAGAACCACAAGGGGCCTTTTGGCCCGGCTCAAGATCTCCACACAGCGCTGAACCTGGGGGAAGAGGTGGGGCTCAAAGAGCCGACCCTGAGTCACCATAAGCCTCCAAAATCAAAGCCCCAATGCTGACTCAGGGACAGGCTGTCCTGCCAGGTGGGGTCCTTGGCCAGGGAAGAGAGATAATTTACCTGCTGGGGGGATGCCTGGGGGATGTCCAGAGGCAGGGGCCCTTCAGGACGAGGCTCCCAGGCTCCTGCAAAGAGATTGGCCAGGTGATTCTCTAAGTACCTGCGAAGAAGAGAGGAAAGGGTGGTTACCAGGATTCATTACTGAGGTTCTAGGAGCTGAAGGAGGAGAGGGCCAGGAGGGAAGTGGGACAGGCACAGGGGTGGTCAAGCAATAGCCCAGAGCCAGACAAACCCCAGTGGCCAAGTCTCTAGCAGCCAGTTTCCCCTTGGAAGCTTCTGATGACCACCCCAACCTGATACAGACCCTCAGAAACAAGTGTCACAGGCATAGAGTGCCAGGATCAGGGCCACAGCAACAGGGTCAGGCAGAGGTGGCTCTGCTGCTTCCTAACTGTGTGACTTTTGGCAAATGACTTAAGCTTTCTGAGCATCCCACAGTGTAAAATGTAAAAGGAAACCTCCTTCCCATGGTTCAGTCAACTATCCATTCAGGATATAAAGCACTTTGCAAAACCCTCCATCAGTGGCAGCTATTAACATCATCAGTACGCTTGCCTCTTTCACTGGCTTCTGACATCCCTTTCTCTGTCTCCTTACTCATTGGGTCACAGGGCCCTGACTTTCCATAAAGCCCCATGCAGGGCTCTGAAGATACACAGATAAATCCTGCTCAGCTCTGCCCTCAAGAACACCCAATCCAGCCAAAACCAGATACATGGGTGTTGGCAGGAAGCAGTCAGAACCAGAAGCTTCTGTTTCTCTTTGGAGTCAAGATGGAAAGAATGAGAAGAGGCCAAGGGAGGAACCATTGAAAGAAAAGGCAATTTTTCTGCTTAAAAATTCTGCCTTCCAGGTAACCAATCAATGTGTCTCTCATATCAATGTTTCTCTCTCTCTCCCCCTTCCTCCTTTTCACTCTCTCTAAAAATCAATGAAAAAAAATATCCTCAGTGAGGTTTAACAAAAACAAACAAAAATTCGGACTCCCAGATATGGTTACTTACCACTTCCTATGTGTTAGGACCTCTGAACCCCCTTCTCTATTTCTGGTTCCCTAACCACGTTGCAGGAAGGCTAGGAGACACATTGCCTTACATTTGACATGACACTGGACTCAGCCCTGTTCTTATTTAAGATAATAATGATTAATTATTTTATACTTCAGCATTTGCACTATCAAAACGATCTCATTTTATTCTTCATAGACTCTTAATCTAGAGAGAAAAGCAGGCAACATCCATTTTACAGATGAGCAAGCTGAAGTCAAGAAAGGTTTAATCACATTATATGTAAGTCAAATCATTACGCTGTACACCTTCAACTTATAGAGTGCTGCCTGTCAATTATAGCTCAACAAAAATGGGGGAAATGGTTTAATCGTTTGCTCAAGTTAACACAGCTATTTAGCAGCAGTCCTGGGATTTGAACCCATGTCTCTAGACTTTTATTTCATTCATTAGATAGCACACAGCTCTGTGGGTAAAGCACTAAAGGCTCCTCCAGGCTGAATTCTCGTATGCCATTAACAAACTGGATGACTTCATGCAAGTCATTAAGTAAAATACCTTAATTCAAAGGGTTGTTATAAAAGACATTGAGTAAAACTGCTACTCCTTGAGCTGCACCTCAAGGCACATCTCCCATGCCCAGGGTTCAGGAACTTGTCTGTCTTGTTCACTGTCACCCACGCCCATCCTGGTACCTGGCACATAGTGGCACTCACTAAATATATGGAGGACTGGAAGGAGCAGGGGCAAGGATAGGCAAAGGGGGGGGATGATTCTTCTTCCTCCTATGCTGTTTCAGCCAGGCCTACCTCAGTGGTGACCAAAAATGGACCTTTTGCATACCCCTACTCAAGCTGTGCCCCTACCTGGGACCCATCCTATCTGCTCAACTGAAGGAAGTGCCCCTCAAACACCTTAGCTCTTCTAAGAAAACCTTCAGGCTTGTCCCAAGCTAGCCCCACTACCCTGCTCTCTCCAAGATCCTGCCACTTGCCACTCAAAGCCCCAGAGTGAGCTGTGCCCATGTCATGGGCCTGCAGGGACCCACTGTCCTTTCTCCAGGCACTCAAATGTGATCCATCGATGTCTCTGTATCTCTCAGCCACTACCCAGATCCAGGCCACCATCACCTCTCATCCTGGGGACAACTACACCTCCTCCCTGGTTTCCCAGCTTCTACCCAACCACAGTCCATTCTCCAAACAACAGCCAGAAGAAACATAATAAAATCCTGAAGTAGGGTATCCCAAACCTCTGATTAAGGCCCTGCAATGCTTCTTAACAGAGCTGAGATTAAAAGTAAAACTGCAGGCACTCCCAGTGGGCCATGCTAGCTGCTCTAAACTCAGCCCCTGCCCCTTCTCCTCTTTGCTCACCTGCTGCTGCCACACAGGCCACCTTGCTTTCCCAACCCACTAAGTTTGTTCCTGCCTCAGGACTTTTGCATATGCTATACCCTCCACCTGGAATGCTCTTCCCATGATTGGCTCCTCTCAAGTGATGTGCAAATCAACGAATGGGTCAAATGAGGGATAAGTGCTAGCAAGAGGTTGCAGGAGAAGGGAGGAGGGCATGGTGGGGGTGGGGCTACGCACCAAGAAACTCCTCGACCCATAAGGCCCTTGGGCGGCTTGGCTGGCACCATCTCCTTCTGGACCATGAAGTAGGGATACAGCACATCAATGGGCAGCTCCACAAACACTGGGCCTAGGGAAGCAGGGAGAACACTGAGCCTGCCAGGCCTCCCTAGCCCCAGGTCCTAGGACCTGACCACTACCCAGCCCTCTAACACCTACCTGGGGTCCCTGACTGGGCAACAGCCATTGCGGTCCTCAGAGTGGGAATGATGTCCCGCACCCTGTGCACAGAAGCACAGAACTTGCAGAGTGGCCGGAACAAGGACATCTGATCAATGGCCTGGAGTGCACCCCGGTTCTGGCGGAGATGGTTTGAGGGGAGTTACCATGTGAGCCCTTTAAACCTCTCTGGAGCCCCCACCACCTCCTGAGGACAGGGCACCTGCAGCAGAGTACTGGCGGCCCCACCCAGAAGCAGTACTGGGGACTGGGCTATCTGGGCATTCTTCACTGCTGTCACTGTGTTGGTGAGGCCAGGGCCTGCCGTCACTGCCACCACGCCCACAGTGCCTGGAACACAGACCCTGTCACCCTCTGCACCCATGCTCATCCTCCTGGTCACCCCCCAAAAAACCCTGCCCCTCAAAGATCCCCCATCCCAGCCCCCAGCCCTCTCCACTCTGCTCTCACCGGTCAGGCGGGCCACAGCATCAGCAGCAAACACGGCCGTGACTTCATGGCGTGTGTCCACCACACGGATGCCCAGCTTCTCACAGGCCACCAGCAGCGGGGAAATATGCCCACCAACCAGTGTGAAGAGGAACCTCACACCATGAGCCCTCAGCACGACCGCCACGCTCTCCCCACCATGCCGGATGCTCACCTTGTCCACCTGAGTCCATGAAGCAGAAGAGCAAGACTGTCAAGAACCAGGGCAAGGGTACCAGGGCAGGTGGGAAGAGGTGTGATCTCCCACATCCAGGAAGGAGAGAGGGAGCAGGGTCAGAGGGCTGGGGAAGGCACATCATTTTACCAGATCCTCATGTCATTACAGTTGATCCTGAACAACACAGGGGTTAGAGGTCCCAAGCCCCACACAATCAAAAATTCACGGATAACTTTTGACTCCCCCAAAACTTAACTACTAATAGCCTATTCACTGGAAGTCTTATCAATAATATAAGCAGTTGATTAACACATATTTTGTGGGTTAACACATATTTTGTGGGTTAAATGCAGAATATACTGTATTCTTACAATAAAGTAAGCTAGGGAAAAAATGACATTATTAAAATTATAAGAAAAAATATACTTACTGTATTCTGTTATTTATTGAAAAAATCTGCACATAAGTGGACCCATGTTAGTCAAGGGTTAACTATATATCCTTTTTCAGCTAAGGGGACCAAGACTTGCACAAGCAAGATTCAAAGTCCCATAAAATCAACACTGTTAAGCACCCTGCTCTACACTGTCAGCCCAGGGATGGTGGGAAAATCAGGGAGAGAGGGGGAAGGTGGATCTACAGCAACCAGGGAAGAAGTGTGGCCAACAGCCAACAGCACAAGGCAAGAGTTACCAGCTATGACTCCAGAACTGCCTGCCCTCAAATATCAGGGCCTGGTAGCCTGACTGTTGACTCCAACCTACCAGGTTCCCTCCCATTCACTGGGCCAGGCCCAGCTGATGGGCTGCCCACCATCAAATGCCTGGCAGTGGGAGCAGCCTCCCAGCCCCAGATTCCACACAGTCCCAAACACCAGAGGACTTTGCCTTAAAGCTCCCCAAGTCCTCAAGGCCAGTGGCGCTGCTTCTGTCTAAAAGAGGAATGACTGAAAATAGGTCAAAGTTGCTCCAGGCTAGGAGAGGAAAAGCTGGGGAACGGATCTGGGGAAGGGGTAAATTTCTAAGAGAGGAGCCAAGTAGTTCAGAGCCAGGTCTGCAGGGTCAGCTTTTCCCCAAAGAGGTCATCTGAAGCAAGCTACCACACAACCTCTCTGAGCCTCAGTTTTCTCTGAGGAAAATGCAGACAGAAACAAGGGCATCTATTCAGGAACATGTTGGGTATATGAGATAATCCCTCTGAAACACTGAGCTCAGCAGAGAGCAATTGTCACAGCTCAGCAGAGAGCAACTGTCTCTGGTGCTTGTCTCCCTAGCAGTAGCACTGACACCACTGTGGTCTGTGAAAAGGGTTCAAGCCCCCTGGGGAAGGAGGTGCATGGGGTGTTGAGTGCCCTGGCTGCTGTAGCTTCCCCGTTATCTCTTTTACATATATACATATATATACATATATATGCATCTTTATTGATTTCGGAGAGGGAGAGAGACAGAAACACCAATGATGAGTCATTGATCCGCTGCCTCCTGCAAGGCCCCTACTGGAGATCGAGCCCGAAACCCAAGCATGTGTCCTGACCAAGAATGGAACCACCATCTCCTGGATCATAGGTCGATGCTCAACCTGTGAGCCACGCCCAGAGGGGCCCTATTATCTCTTACAAGGCAAATTCCAAGGCTCATGTGCTTGGCAATAGGGGTAGGGCCCTGGAAAGAATCTCCTGACAGCCCCTAGAGCAGGGAGCTCGGCCCTCCTTTGGTTGCCCCCAGCTCGCCTCCCATAGGTGGCCCCGCACCTTGTGCGTCAAACGATATAAGAGCCCCAGGCGATGCGCGGCACCCAGCACTGCAGCCACCAGCGTCCCGCAGACCAGGAGAAGGAAGGAGGGGAAGAAGTTCCCCGCAGGGGCGGCGGCCGCGGAGACCTCCATAAGGTGACACCTAAAGGAAAAACAGCAGTTCCAGTGCCTGGACTCAAAGATAAAGTATCCGGAAGGCACGCCCCTCTCCCACACGGATCTGGGCCACGCCTCTTCCCCGGAGTTTCTGCATGGCCACGCCCCTTACGCTGCAAAGCTCGTTCCAAAGCTATGCACCTCAGGGGCCAGGCCACGCCTCTGGGGATCCAGACCGAAACCCTTGCATCGCTGGGCTCCCAGCCTTATGTCGCCACCACCCAGACTAGGCGACTACAGGTCAATGCGACTTCAAAATAGTTATTTTCCCGCTTACCTGCTTCTCAATGGATCGCCCCTCTTTTACGTCAAGATGCCGAATGTCAGCCCCAGTGGAGAGCCCCCCCGTCTACGTCACCAAGAGTGATGAGGACACGCCCCAGGTTGGTGGGCGCGACCCCTCTCCTCAAGCGAGACCCACCTCCAAGAGAGCGCCGAAGCCCGAGCCTGACCCCGATCCCGAGGTTAGGTCACACCAGGTTGTTTCCTCGACACCCGGGACACTTCAGCTTTTACCTACAAGAAATGGCACTGACTCCAGAGGAATTCCGCGTACCTTCTTATCACTTGACCAAGGGCACGGCCGCGCTCCTTTCGCCTACACTGCCCTGGAGCACCCTACAGCCTGGCCCCTTGCGCGTGCGCAGAGCTGAGGCCACGCTCCTGTGCACTAGCAGCTCCTTTAAGACCTCTGTCTCTACTGGCCGCCTCGAGCACAGGCCCCGCCTTTTCTCTCCTTTCATTGGCTCACACTGCAAGCTTCACGCTCTTCTGTACAGGAGGCCACGCCTATCGGCGTCTGCCATTTGCCAAGACCCTCTCGGGCCCACCTTCCGTGCTCTCCCATTGGCCCCACATTGCAGGCCCTTTTTCGGGCCTTCCGAGCCCAGCCCTGTGGCCTAACCGCTTCAGGTTGGCGGGGCCTGGAAGGTCACGGGCCCGCTGCCCGGAGTCCACCACCCGAGGCCTCTTCCCAAACACGTCCCTCCCCTCGTTCTGGCATCAGGTCCCGCCTCCTAGGGTACCGCACCCAGGCAAAGGCGGGCCCCGCCCCCTCCCGTAGGCCCGCCTCCGCTGTTGGCCCCACCCCACTTCTTGGGGTTTCTCTGCTCCAAGTGCTGGGGAACCGACCCTCTAAAGCCCGGTGGCCCCTCGTTCTAGCCCGTGTTCCACCGTATTCCAGCGGTTTGGCCTCGGGAAAATGATCGCCGCATCAGTAATGGGGGAGTAATTCTGGTACCGAGCGTCCTGCTTCTGTCCAAGACAAATCCTGCCATTTTTACACTGGCTTCTATCCCGGGTCAACTTTGGGGATTTTCCTCTAAGGATTACACTCCATCGTTAATTTTATCTTCCACTGAATCATTACTAGATTTTAATTTAACTCATTAAAAAAATTTTCACAACAAAAGAAAGAAAAAATTTTTTTTAAAAAAACTCCTTTGGCCCCACATTCTCTACATGTTGCTGTCCCTTTGCTCCTATTTTTAGCGAAATTCCTCCACTTGCTGTCCACCTGAGCCCTCCTACTTACCTTCTTGAATCCACTCTAAACAGGCTTTTCCCACACACACACCCTGAGAGCTGTTCTGGATTATTCCAACAGTCTCCAAACGGGTCCCCTCTTCTTTCTGTTTCTCACCTACCAGCTTAACCCCACTCTCCCTGCCTATAATTAACAGGATAAAATGCAAACTTCTTAGAAGGGGCTTCTAGGCCTAATTAAACTCCTAAAGCCAATAATGAAATAGTGATCATTATTTTCTGTCAAGTACTTATGTGCAAGGGCTGTTCCACACACTTTTGACATATTAACTCATTTAATTTTCACAACACCCTGTAAGGGAGATGTATTATCATTATCCTATTTTACAGATGAGGAAACACAGAGAGGTTAAGGAACTTGCCCAAAGTCACACAGCTTGTAAGTGAAAGAGGCAGAAAGTGAACTCAGGCAGTGCTGCCTGGGCTCCCATAGTGGGAGCACCTCAAGAATGGGTACCATGTTTCAACCATATGGCTTCTCCATGCCTACAGGGTGTAGTGTTTGGGGCCCACCCAGATCCCCTTGTGCTTACATCGGATTTCATTCTAAGTGAGTTGGGAAGCCAGAAAGGATTTTGACCAGACTAAGTCACACAAAACATGCACACGATTGTTCATAGGAGCCTTATTTGTAATAGCCAAAAACTAGAAAAATCAAAATATCCTCCCATAGGTGAATGGTTAAACACACTGTGGTCCATCTTCACCATGGAACACTGCTCAACAATAAAACATGTAGGTTCAGGAGCCACCACAAGATGTGCCCCCGTGGTATGCGGATTGTTTTGAGCTAACGGCAACCAAGACCCTGCAGGCTCAAGAGAAATTTCTGCCCTACCTACCTGGAAGGATTTGAATTAAGGACCTTGCCCATAATAAGAGATTATCAGAAATAACCTTTTTTGGCCTATCTATAGGGCAGGGCAAACTTCTAATTACTGAACATCTGCTCCTTAACATCCTGCTATGACCTTCCTTCCCTCTGAAGCCACAAAGTGCCTTATGTTATCCTTAGCTCAGAATGTCAAATATGCTTCAGTTTCCCTTTATGTCTTTGAGCCTCTCATGTATGAAGGGTTCCCATAAATATGTATGTAATTAATTTGGTCATTTTCTCTTGCTAATCTGTCTCCTGTCTATTTGATTATTAGACCTGCTGAAAGAACCTTAAGGGTAGAGGAAAGTTTCTTCCTCCCCTACAAGGAATAAACTATTGAAACACACAACTTGGATGAATTGTAAAATAATTATGCTCAGAGAACAGATTTGTGGTTGTCAGAGGAAGGGGAAGAAGGGGATGAGGGTGAAGGTGGTCAAAAGGTACAAACTTACAGTTGTAAAATAAATAAATCCTGGGGGTGTAATGTACAGCATGGAGACTATAGTTAATAATATGTTTGTAAATTGGAAAGCTGCTAAGATCCTGCTAAGATGCAGGTAAATAAGTTCTGAAGATGGATAGCGGTGATGGTTGCTCAACCACGTAAATGTATTTAATGGCACTTAAAATGGTTAAGATGGTCAACATTGTTTTATTGAATTTTTTTGTTTTGAGGGAGAGAGAGAGAAAACAACAACAACACATTGATAGGAGAGCAAAACATCAATCACATCAATCAGCTGCCTCCTGCATGCCCCCTACTGCAGGGATCAAGTCCAAAACCCGGGCATGTGTCCTGACTGGGAATGGAACCGGCAACCTTTTGATGTATGGGACAGCACTCCAACCAACTGAGCCACCCAGCAGGGAGATCAGAAATTTTTTTTAAGCTTGTAGGTCGCCAGACCATGAGAGGCCTTCCCAGGGCTTGAAGGACAGCTCTTACATTTCAAACTGGATGCAGTGAATGGATGACTCTTCAGGCTATAGTCCCTGGAGTGGGGTACTGTATGTATTAGAAGGAGGGGTGCATGGATATTGTGTGACTTTGTGTCTGGCTTATTTTATTTAGTATAATGTCCTCTAGGTTCATCCACATTATAGCATGTGTCAAAATTTCTTTCCTTTTTAAAGCTGAATTATATTTAATTGTATGTATATCCACACATTGCTTATCTATTCACCCATTGATGAACACTTGGGTTGCTTCCAGCTTTTGGCCATTGTGAGTGATACTGCTATTACCATGGGTGCACAACACGTCTTCGAAACCCTGTTTTCAATTATTTTGCATGTATATCCAGAAGTTGAATTGCTACATCAGATAGTAGTTCTATTTTTTTATTTTTTAACGAGCCACCATAACGTTCTCCAACAGCAGCTGCACCATTTTATATTCCCACCAACAGTGCACAAGTGTTCCAGTTTCTCCATATCTCTGCCAACAGTTGTTATTTTCTGGGGGTTTTGTACTAACCATCCTGATAGAAGTGATAACATAACTTTTAATTCATCATTTTGCCAACAGTCATTCTTTGTTTAATTTTGCCAATGCTTCCCCCAGGAAAGAGATAGAATGAAAGCCCTATCCTAACACAAACAAGTGTCAAATTCTGTTGCCCTGGCTGGTGTGGCTCAGTTGGTTTGGCATAGTCTTATGCACGGAAAGGTCACCAGTTCAATTCCTGGGCAGGGCACACGCCCAGGCTGTGGGTTAAACCCCTGGCTCGAGTGCCTACAGGAGGCAACCGATCTATGTTTCTCTCACATCAATGTCTCTCTCCCCCCCCTTCTCTCCCTAAAAAATCAATAAAACTTTTTCTTTAATTCTGTTTTCCGAAAGAGGGAGTTAAGGTGGCCAAGCCACACTAAAGGAACACTACAATCCATGTTTCCCTACATGACATTCATGTACTATTCCTGACTAATTGTATTCTAGAACCACCCAATTCCCCCAAAATTGTACCAGCGTGAAATGAGCTGAGAAAGTTTCAGTAGAGGCCATGGGGACAGAGGACAATGAGGAGCCTCCCAGAGGACAAAGCTAGATATGGAAAGAAAATGAGCCATCTTTACTCCTTATAAGTTTTTAAATCTTGCCCCTCCGTCTTTAGCATCTGGATAGTCGCAAGGGGAGGGATGGGAAGGCAAAGTGTTTCAGCTGAGTGAGAGAAGCCAGATGCAAATCGCCATGTATTAAATGATTCCGCTTACATGAAATACCTTTAGAATGGCAAATTTTATAGTAACAGAGAGTAGATTAGAGACTGAGAGGAGGGGGAAATGGGGAATCATTGCTTAATGGACACAGAGTTTCAGTTTAAGATGGAAAAAAGTTTGGGAAATAGACCCTGGTGATGGTTGCGCTAAACTGTGAATGCGATTAATGCCACTGAATGGTACACTAAAAAAAAAAAGGTTAATACAACAAATTTTATGTTGTCTATATCTTACCACAATAAAATGTTTTAAATTCCCCCTTCTTTCCTTTTCTCCCATCATGCACCAAAAGAATAAATGATCCAAAGGGAAGAGAGCGAGGATAATCATGAAAACAGCCGCAGTTAGGGGCACAACCCTGCAGGAAAAATAAAGGCAGCCTTGGGCCCGGCCGGGCGTGGCTCAGCGGTTGAGCATCGACCTAGGATCCAGGTGATCAGGGTTCGATTCCCGATCAGGGCACATGCCCGGGTTGCGGGCTGCAGCCGATCAATGACTCTCTCACCATTGATGTTTCTCTCTCTCTCTCTCTCCCTCTCCTTTCCTCTCTCTGAAATCAATAAAGAGATATTTTTTTAAAATTTTAAAAAAGGCAGCCTTGGGTTGGTGACAAACAGCCACACACACACACATCCCAAAAAAGTAGGAAAAGTTCCGGATGAGACAAGATAAAGGGATGCTGGCCCCAGGCCGAGGCCCTGCTCACCGCTGACCGAGCCCCTGCCTCCCCTGCCCGTCGCGGCCGGGCCGGGTCAGCGGCGCCCCCACTGGTGGCCAAGCTGCACTGCAGGCGGCTCGCGGCCCCTCCCCCCGGCCCCAAAGCCAAGGCGATCGCGACGGGAGGAAAAGGCAGCCTCTAGGGCGTTCTGCAAGGTCGCAGGCACTCATTCAATAGGCTGTTGCAGCTCAGGTCCCGGGAGCGGGCCCCGTTTTCCAGGTGGGGAAGCAGCGTCGGGCAGGGCGCGCGATCGCGGAATTGCGGGGCGGGGACGCAGGGCGAGCGCTCACTTGCGAGCCCCGCGGCTTCGCGCCAGGGTCCTCCTCAGCGCCACCCTCACCTCCTTGTTGCGCAGAGTGTACACCACGGGGTTGAGCAGCGGCGTGACCACCGTGTAGAAGACAGCCACCAGGCGGTCCCGGTCGGGGTGCCCCCCCGAGTCGGGGCGCAGGTAGATGATGGAGGCGCAGCCGAAGTGCACGAGGACCACGGTGAGGTGCGCGGCGCAGGTGGAGGCGGCCTTGCGGCGCCCGGCCGCCGACCGCATCCTGGCCACCGCGGCCGCGATGAGGGCGTAGGAGAGGACAATGAGGAGGAAGGAGACCAGCACCACCAGGACGCTGAGGAAGAAGATGGCCAGGGCCCTGCCCGCGCTCGCGGCGCAGCTGAGCTTCAGGACCGGGCCGATGTCGCAGAAAAAGTGCTCCACGCGGTTGCTGCCGCAGAAGGGCGAGGAGAAGATCATGCTGGTCTCGATCAAGGCCACTGAGAAGCCGCAGCAGAAGACCAGGGCTCCCAGGCAGAGGCACACGCTGGGTCTCATGGTCACCGAGTAGCGCAGGGGACAGCAGATGGCCACGTAGCGGTCATAGCCCATCAGGGTGAGCAAGAAGCAGTGGCTGCAACCCAGGCCCAGGAAGAAGAGCATCTGAGCCCGACAGCCAGCGATGGAGATGGAGTGGCTCTCCGCCAGCAGGTGAGCCAGCATGTTAGGGATGGTGGCCAGCGTGTAGCAGGTCTCCGAGAGGGACAGCGCCGCCAGGAAGCAGTACATGGGCGTGTGAAGGGTCCGATCTGCATGGATAATGGTGATGATGGTGACGTTGCCACCGAGGGTGACCAGGTACATGAGGAAGAACAGCGTGAAGAGGGTGGCCCTCAGGTCTGGGTGGTTGGAGAAACCCACCAGCACAAACTCTGTCACCAGCCAGGTGACATTTTCCCACTGCTTTTTAGGAGTCTGAGAAGAAAGGACAGAGTAGATGCGATAGAACAAGTTACTAAGGGTCTGCCAGGCATCACTGGTTTACAAAAAAAGAAGAGAGAGGCTCAGAAATTATGTCAAGTGGCAGGGGGTGGGGGTGGAAGAGAGCAGAGGGGGGATAAATCATGATGGAAAATAAATAAAAGAAAACAAAAGAAATGATGTCACTTGTTTTCCAAATACCACCCAGCAAGCGTCTCTTTAATAGCAAGAAAATCATAGATCTGGAAACAACCTAAGTGCCTGTCAACAGATGAGTGGATAACGGAGGTGTGGTGATACACGGTGGAATATTACTCAGCCATGAGAAAGACTGAAATCCTGCCATTTGCAACAACACGGGTGGACCTTAAGGGCATTATTCTAAGGGAAGTGAGTCAGACAGAAAAAGACAAATACCATATGATCTCACTCATATGTGGACTCTGAAAGAGTTAACCTCATAAAAACAGAGTAAAATGGTGGTTGCCAGGGGCTGGAGCGTGGAGGACAAGGAGAGGTGAGGTTTGAGGATACAAGCTTGCAGCCAGTAGATAAATAAGGCCCAGCAGAGCGAATGTAGACAACAGTCTTGTATTATAGTGATCTAACTTGCTAAGAGACTGGATCGTAATTATCCCACCACACAAAAGAGACGATCATTTTGTGACCTGACAGAGTGCCAGTTATTGCTATAACAGCATACCACAGCATATGAAAGTATCAAATAACATGCTGTACACCTTAAACTTACACAATGCTATATGTCAAACACATTTCAATTTTTAAAAAAGAAAAGAAAATCACAGAAACCTATAAGGAATAGATACTTATATATGGGGTAGGGAGAGATGGTAAGAACATCAGTGCCTTATATGAGCCCCCTGGAAACAGATCCTGAGGCAAGGATTCAGGAGCAAATAGTTTATCTGGACCGCCATCCTCCAAAACATGTGTGGAGTGGGGGAGGGAGACAGACACTAAAAGGCGCGTTGTCAAGGAAATTGTCACTGGCGACTAGAATTTAATCCCACCTAGGGAACCCTGAGGGACAAAGAGGAAACTGGGTGTTTATCCATCAACCTCTCGTTTGTCATTGCTTGAGAGTTTCTACCAGGAGACATTAATCTCCCAGCACTTCCAACTTGCCACATGTACAGAGAGTTCAAGGAAATAATAAAAGCCGAGGGGATGTGGGCCAAGAACCTATAGCAACCTCTACAGTCCAAATACCTGAGAAAGGCAAAGCTCGTAACATTGGTCATTACCTAAATTTATTTCAATTTTATAAAAATTTAAAATTTTTATACTTTAAGGGTGCATTGGTGTAAAGATGAATACAGTCTTTAATCCTAAAACTATTTCTTCTGATCTTAAAAGAAATTTTAATACCTTCATGGGACCCCTTAATAGTATTGCCCCAGCCCTAGACACTGTGCCTAATGGACACATATGTATTCTTTAAAAGGAAAGTAACTCTGAAATAATTAACCATTTTGATTCAAATGATGAGGCTTCAGTAGGAATCCTGAATTGTTACAATCAATTACTCTCCATCTCAGAAAAAATATAGCCGTATTGAAATGTTTTTGAGAGTATTTTTCATTCATTTGGAACATGAGACTCTGTTTTAAGGGAAATGGTCCTAATGTGATCTTTCCCTGCTTATCGAGAGTTAATTGGTTGAGAGATAAACATAGTTCAGCCTGGAGATCCCAAATACACCAACGCAGCCAAGTCAGCCACCATCCCCACAAACAGAGGCTGTGTCAGCCGGAGACCAACACAGGGTCACCAAAATGACCTAGGGGACATTCACAAAAAGAGCAAAATGGCAAACTGTGGGCATAGATGCTCGAAGGGTGTGCAGGGGCCAGTGGAGTGGCTGGGCCTGGGTGAGACTGCTGGGCCGATGCCAGGCTGTCACTCACCCCTGTGTGACCAACCTTGAGCCAGGTGCCCAGATGAAGAAGGTGGGGTTCGTAGAGAGCAGAGTCCTGATTTATTCACCATCTAGTGGCATTTGGAGTACTCTACAAGCCAGTGATCCTTATAAGAAGAGAAAAAGGTGAGGAAATGGCTGTGCCCCTAAAAATCCTCATCCACAGCAATGGGGCCCAAAACTGACAATGGTCATTTAAATGTTTTGGAAGTTTAATTCTGGAAAAATAAATTTTAGATTTTAATTCTGAAGATATGTGGAGAAAAACAACAAAAGATGTGCCTTGTCAAGTCCAGAGATATTCAAGGACCATCAAAGAACTTAACAGAAGCAAATAAGCACTGAGGGAGGGATGCCTATGTTTTTCAGGAAGAAAGAAAACCAGGCAGCTGGCAGCAGGCAGCCATGTTGATCAAGCACAAAGGAGCACACTTCTTCTGTAAAGAGCAAGGTGGTGAATATTTTAGGCTCAGTGGTTGAGTGTGAACCCATAAACCAAGAGATCACGGTTCGATTCCCAGTCAGGGCACATGCCCCGGTTGAGGGCTCGATCCCCAGTAGGGGGCGTGCAGGAGGCAGCCGATCAATGACTCTCTCATCATTGATGTTTCTCTCTCTCTCCCTCTCCCTTCCTCTCTCTGAAATCAATAAAAATCATATATATTTTTAAAAATCTTTAAATTGCCCGGCTTGGCGTGGCTCAGCAGTTGAGCATCGACCTAGGATCCATGAGATTGTGGTTCGATTCCTGGTTGGGGCACATGCCTGGGTTGCGGGCTCAATCCCCAGTGGGGGGTCATGAAGGAGGAGGCCAATCAGTGACTCTCATCATTGATGTTTCTCTCTCTTTCCCTCTCCCTTCCTCTCTCTGAAATCAATAAAGATATGTTTTTAAAAAAATAAAATACAAAAATTAAATTTTAACTTCAGAATAGGGCTAACATTTAAAAAAAAAACTTTAAACAATATCAGAGAGAACATCAAAGCTCTTATATAGAGAGAATGACAGAAACTCAATTGCCTAGAACACTTCACAGAGAAAAAAGTATTGGATATGACTGTCAAAAAATATAATTTCTAAATATCATGAAACATTGTGAAATTGAAATAAACTTATGGGCAAACCACAAACTAGTAAAAGTTGTGATTCTAAAAAGTGTTTTGTTCTTACAAATCATTAAGAAGAAAATGAAAATTTCCAGTTCTAAGTAAGTATTGGGGATATAACATACAGCATGGTGACTATAGTTAATAATATTGTGTTGCATATTTTAAAGTTGCTAAGAGAGTAGATCTTAAAAGTTCTCATCACAAGAATGTTATATGTCAATTATACTTTAATTTTTTAAAAAATGAACACCCTGGCCCACCTTGCCCCCCGCCCCCCAACATTTGTGGAATTCAAATGAAGGCTCATATACCATATGACTGAATATTTAAAGTTAACAAACAATTAAATGAAGTATGTTCTAACTCCTCACATTGAGAAACATACCTTCATAATGACCTGGAAATGGCCTACAGGAATAAATCAGACTTTCTTGGGCATCTTAAAGATGCACTCAGTATAGGAGTCTCTTCTACCACAATTATTCAACCTCTACTTGCATCCCTCTAAGGACAGGGAGGTCACTCCCTGACAAAAATCCATGACATAGAGCAGAAATTCTGTGCTCAAAACAGCCCTTCTGTAACCTACAAAGACAACAAGACTGAGCTCTGGAATCAGACAGGCCTGCATTTGAATGTTGGTGCCTTCACTTACTGGGGCAGTGTGACCATGGGCAGCTGGTTTTGGCCCTGTAAGCCTCATCTGTGAAAGTGGAGATCGATCCTGTGAGCTCACGGATGATGCCCTGAACAGTGCTACAAACCCTTTGGCCTCAGACTCCTTTCAAGGAGAGACAGGATTGTCATTCTCGGCTTTGCACTGCTGGGGAAGCGGAGCACATGTGGGATAATCTGCTCACATTCTCACCATTGTGGTACCAGGATTCAAAGCCAGGAGTCTGTCTCTGGAGGCTGTGCTTTAAGGGCTGCGAGTTTGCAGGCTTGCTTTTCATTCTACACATATTCACTGAGCATCTGTTCTGTGCTGGGTGTTGCTCTGGGCGCTGAGAACATAGCAAAAAACTAACCAGGCAGAGACCCCCAGCCTTGGAGGTGCAGGAAGTTATAGAGAAGTGAATCAGGCAATAATCCATGAACGTGAAAACTAAATGAGACTGTGTATTGGACAATAAGTGCTACAGAGAAAGACAAGCAGAGTGCTTAAAGGGCAATTGAGGGGTCAGAGGTGGGTTGCAATTTTAAGTAGGATGGTCAGGAAAGGGCTTGTTGAGGTTTAATGTTCGGTCGCTCTGGAATTTCTCGTTTCCCCTCCCTTGTTTTCTGATCTCATCCCTAGGGCTGGGGATGGGCCAAGGTGGCTTCTCTAGCCAGGCAAAGGCCCTGAATTCACACTTGAAAGAAATGAGCAAATTAGTCAAGAGGATACTAGGAGGAAGAGAGTGTCCTCTATAGAGGCAACAGCTGGTGCAAAGGCCCTGAGGCTGGACTGTGCCTGGAAAAGGAAGAGCAAGGAGGAAGAGAGGGGTAGAAGGAGTGAGAGGTGGGAGGTGATGAGAGCATGTTTTGTAGGGTCTTGTGGGCTCACAGTGAGGACTGCAGCTTCTACACCTAGTCATGTGGGAGCCATGCAAGACTCTGAGCAGAGGAAGGACATGACCTAACTCAGGTGTTCCTGGGTGCCCTCTGGCCACTGTGGGAGAACAGAGTTTGGGGAACATGAGTGGGGAGGATGAGGGCTGGACCATGGAGGTGGTAAGAGATGGACAATATGGACAAATTGTGCAGGAGGAGCCCACTGAATTTTCTGACAGGTTAAGATGTGGGTGTAAGAGAAAGAGCAGGGAGTGGGAGTTGGCAGAGCTGCAACAGGAGGGTGGGGTGAGACCCATCCAGCCAGGAGTCAGAGGGGACTCTGTTCAGTTCAGAGAATGCCAGGGGTAGACACACACCCAGCCTGGTGGACTCATACGGACAGCCAGGCCCCAGTGCACCTTCACCATAGAGGTGGCATCTGTGGCAGGCCCCTGCACCCACCTCAGAGAGAAAGAAAAGGGACTTCCTGAATGGGGCTGAAATTTAAGCTGCAACAGCTGAGAAGTTTGCCTCAAGGTGTCCAGATTGTCACAGGTGAGAGTGTCTGGCCAAAATGAAGTCAGGTTACAGGACTAGAAAGTTCCGTATTTGCATACCTGGAACCTATGAAAAGTGCACCTATGGAAAGACCCCCAGGCCAGCTGCTTGTCTGGTGGGAGAGTTAGCGGGAGGTAGTTGGTACTGAGCTAAGGGGCAGGCCAATGGCACTTCCACGGTGAGGCTAAGGGATGAAGAACACGTGGAGTTCGGGTCTGGAGTCTTTCCTTTTCTTCTTCCCCTTTCTTCTCCTCAGGAACAACTCCCTCACCCCCCCACCACCAAAAGCAGGAGCCCCTTCCCCAGCACCTTTGAGCCCTCACTGCTGAATGACTCTATAGGACTATGTGTGCATTTAGGGCTATGAAGTTCCAGGCACATGTGTGCATGTGTGTGCCTGCTGCTTGCAGGGCACACATGTGTGCATTTGGTACCTCATGTGCTCAGACAACACATGAGCTGGGGGTGAGCTTGGGTGGCTTCTCCAGCCCAGCAAAGGCCCCAAATTCATGCTTACCATGGCCAAGGGAGTTTCCTGCCTGCATCGCTTGCTGCTCGCAGCCTGAGAGGGGAGGGGCTGAAGACCTGGGTCCTGTTATACAGGGGGTCCCTAGAGCTGCTGTCCCAGGGGCCCCTCAGCCACTAACAAGCCCCCCAGGGCTCAGACTGGTGACACCCTACGGGTTTTTTCCCTCCTGGAAACTGGAGGCCCGGGGGTCCACTTCCCAGGCCCCCAGGCTCACATGGCAAAAAATGGGAAAGGACTAATTATGGTTTCTTTTTGTGGACAGCTGTCGCAAATGCACTCCTCACTTTATCAGAGCTCCCCAGGGCCCGTCAGTGCCCACCTGTGCTGGGCAAAGCTGCTACCCCAAGGAAAATGTGCGCCCAACCCTGCCCCAAAGGAGAGAAGGAAGAAGTGGATCGCTTGATGTTCTTATACACACGTTCCCGGGGCTTAACTTCTCAGAGTAACCACAGCTCCTCAGTCCCTCTCCTTGTTCTCCCCAGAATTAATTCGTCATCAAATCTTCTCTACTCTTCCTCCTCAAGTTCCCCATCCCCTCTGCCCCACCCTAACTCAAGCTGCAACATTCCCACCTGTTGCAAAAGCTTGTCGTGTCACCTTCCTCTAGTCTGTCCTCTGCACTGGCCACCAGAACAGGAGCTCTGGCTGTGTTCCCTTTCTACTCAGGGACCTTCCATGGCTCCCCACTGCCCTCAGAGCAAAGTTTAAAATTCCCCATCTTCACGTTTAAGACCCTTGTGATCTGGCCCCTGGTACCTTCTCCAGTTCCAAATCCAGCCATTGCTCCATATACATCTGTGTATTAAATTAACAATAAGGAAACGAGGCATAGATTCAGCCATTCCAAATTGCTGACCCTTCCTCAGATTTCCATGCTGTATCACAGCATTTTGCCCCTCCCCATGCTATTTCTTTTCCCCTCCTCTTAGCCTCCTGGCAAACTCCTAACCCTCCTGAATATCACATCTCCAGCATAAAGATATACACACATCTTCTTTATCCGTTCATCCATTGACTGACATTAGGTTGTTTCCATATTTTGGCCGATGTGAATAGTGCTGCAATGAACACAGTTCTAGCTGAGAAATTTAACCTCATGAATTAAATTTCATTACTGGACACGAATACAGTCTCATCATTGCAAACTCCTACTCTATATCAGCAACCCCTGTCATATTTGGGGTTCTTCCAGAAAACCCTGAGACAAGGATTTAAGTAGAAAAAAGTTTATTTTGGAGGAGACCCCAGAAAATACAAGCAGGTAAGTGGAGTAATGAGAAAAGGAACTAATAGAACATATGTCATCAGGCAACTGACCCCTGTGGCAGCTGGGGGTTCATTCCCACTGGAAATCTCCAGGAAGTTGCATGGAATATTTATTAGTTGCTTCCACAGAATTCCTGCTTCTGCAAACCTGATTGCCTTCAATTTACCCCTCCCCAGTCCCAGAACACAGACTGATTGCTTTAAGAAATCAGTACATCCCATATCCCATTACCATAGTGATTGAGTAGAGCAGCAGTGATGAAAAGCAATCCCCCCAACCACCACTACCAGGTGACAATTGACAAAGCCTGTAGACATTTTTGGTTGTCACAATGGAGAAGGGGCATCTGGTGGGTGGGGGCCAGGGATGCCATTAAACATCCTACAATGCACAGGAGAGCTCCCTATAGTAAAGAATGATCTGTCCACAGATGTCAATAGTGGCAACACTGAAAAACCCTCAATAAGAGGATGGGCACATGACCCAGTTGGAGTCAATACAAAATCAACCCCATGTCTAGAAGTTTCTCAGTTCCCTGGAAAGTGCAATATGGTCCATGACCTTTGCACCTATGTTGTTAACACAGAGGGAGGGCTAAGAGCTGTGCAGGTGGAAAGAGAAGCTGGGTTGGGTACCACGTGGAGCCTGAGGATGACATTGATCCCCAGAGAAAAATCTGTAGAGACGAAGAGAAATTCAGCCTCATTTGAGTCACTAGATCAAATCTCCCCTGAAGCTGGTCCTTTTTAGTTACATGAATTAATATTTTTGTTTGTTTGTTTAAGCCAACTGAGTTGATTTTTGTGTCACATGCAACCAAGAGCACTCCAAGCGATAGGGGATTCAAGAACATGATCCCATCCTGTCTTCCTGGAGGACCCCTGTGTGACACAACCTTGTCTTGGAGCACAATTGGTTGCAAGACATAGAAACCCACCCCAGCTGGTATATGCATAGAATTTATTACATGGGTGCAGCATTGTCTCCAGACCCCAAGGAAGCATGAAGTAGAGGTGACTTTCATGCAAAACCAGCATCAGGTACTTAGAAGGCAATGAATAAATAAAAAAACTCCTTCCAACTCTAGAACCATTTGCGTACCCTTTTCTGATTCTCCCTGCATATTAGCTCCATTCTTCTGCTGTTTGCGGAAGTACCCATTGTTCCACACTGGCCACCCATATTTAATCTGCTGGTGACCTTAAGAGTTCTGCCAACTGATGGCTTTCTTAGCATTTCCATTAAAGGTTTTCGAGTGAATCTGATTGAATCATCCTAAGTCGGGTGACCCCTGACCCAATCAGTGGAGTCATCTGCCAAAAGAGGAAGCAGCAGAGTAGGCAGGCTAGCCAAGTGGGTTTAACCCAAGATGGGAGCTCAAGGTAGCCTTGGAGGGACAGAAGACCCACCACTCCCACTCCCCACCTTATGTAGACACAGACCAATGGAGTGTTAACTATTCCTTTATTAGGTGGTAACGGGGGTGGGATCTGTACAATGCAAGGCCTGGGGATTTAGCTACACAGGGATTGTGGTCAGAAGCCATATTACAAAAATAGCCTAAAAATACTTCTATTCTGCCATGGGGCTAGGCCAGGGGAGGACCAGGAGAGGCGCTATTCCGGCAGCTCCTTCCCATCTTGCAGTCCCATATGTACAGGGAGACGAAGTGAAATGCACATCTCCCCCTGGTCCTCATGCTCCCACCACCCACCCCCAAGTTCCCAAAGGGAGGTGGCCCAAGCGCTAGGGTGGGGGTGTAATCTGGGGTGAGCTCTCTGAGGCAGAACAGAAGGGCCCTTCCCCCAGCAAAGCTATAGAACAAGTTCCATCTGGAATGCAGTGAAGTGAGGGAGGTGGGGTGGGGAGTAAGCTCCCACATCTTGCCAACCCCGGACCCCAGGTACACACCAGGGTCATGTACTCGGTACACAGGATCCCAGTCATGCCTGTGTACTCGGTACACAGAATCCAGCTTGGCCAAATGGGCCCACAGACTCAGCCCCATGGGGGCACTGGGGAGTTTTCAGGGGGCAGGGAGCATCTCCATATATATTTTTTTGTAAAAAATAATAATAATAAGTTTGTTTAAATGAATTTGTTTCTATACAAAATGTAAAAAAAATAATAATCCACTCGTGTCAGAGTATGAGTGAGAGAGACCAGAGAAGGCAAGAAAGGAATGAAGGGAGAATTGGGGAGCAGGAGGAGGGGAGGACAGGAGAAGGTCCCAGACTCATCACAAGACCCATGGGTGGGGGTCAGCCTGAACCCCTTATAAATAAAGGAAGACTGAAGTCCTAGGCTGGTGACCTATCTCAGTCACACTGCAGGGGTACAGGACGCAGGAGGATTGACAAAGAGAGAAGAGAATGAAAAAGATTAAAGGAAAGAGGGGAGAGAGAAGAGAATCAGGATGGGGTGTCTCTTCAGCCCCCTCAAATCCAAGAACTGAGGAGCATCTCAAGCCAACACCTGCCTCTTGGGGGTGACTTCAGGCTGGGGCCCCAGCTGGGTCTGGGTCTGAACTAGGGGGCCAGGGACGGACAGGGAGAGGGGCTGGGCAGGCAGTGTCCCAGCGGCCGTGGCCGTGGCCCCAGTGGCAGTGGCCGGGCTGGGTGTGGAGTCGGACCAGTCTGAGAGTGAGGGAGGCGAGGGGCTGGCCCAGTGCTCAGGGGACTCAGGGGATGGGGTCAGGTAGGGATGCTCACTGGGGACCCGCAGAAAGCGAGCCTTGGGGGAGCTGCCGTGGGCCCCGGGCACTGGATACTCCTCACCATGTCCTGGGGCTGCCAGATATGGCGGGGGCCGCTCCTGGGAAGACATGGGGGTCCCGGGGTTCAGCAGCTGGGGTCCTGGTGCCAGCGGAAGCAGGAACGAGGGACCTGGCGGGGCAGGTGGGGGCAGCCGGGCCCAGTCAAGGGGAACAGCCACAGGGTTCAGCAAGCCCAGGCTGAGCACGCAGCCCCCGGGGGGCTGGCACCCTAGACCTGCCCTGCCCGCACCACCAAGTTGTGCCAGGGACACAGCCGTGGTGGTGGCACCTGCATAGGGCCCCTCAAGGGGGAAGCCTCCGGGGGATACAGGGGGCCCACCAAAGGGCCGTGGGGAGTCCAGAGAGTCTACAGGCGACAATGTGACCGAGCTCTCAGCCAGGGGACCCGGGCAGGCCAGAGTCAACTTCTTGCCCCGGCCCCGGGTGCCCTGTGGTCCCAACCCTGATTTCCCTGGTGGCCTTCGGCTCTTCTTGCCCCCGGACTGTGCTGCCTTGAGGCCAGGGAGGAAGGCCCCAGGCGGGCAGAGCAGGGGCCCCAGGCCATGGGAGCCCGGGGGACTGCGAGGCCCACTGGGCTGGTCCAGCAAGCGCACAATGTCCTGGTGCAGCCTCTCCTGGGCCACATCACGTGGCAGCCTGTCCAGATGGTCAGTGATCTCCCGGTTGGCAAAGTGATCCAGCAGGAGCTTGGCAGCCTCATAGCTGCCCTCCCGGGCAGCCAGGAACAGTGGAGTCTCCTCCTAGGGGGAGCCCAGAACCGGCAAGATGTCAGGGTCACAAGGGCCAGGATGAACTCCTGAACAACACCAGGGCCCCCATCCTCTGGTGGAACCTAAGAGCTAAGAGTTCATACTCTCCAGCCTGGCACACCTGTGTTCAACTCCCAGCTCTGATGGGGGAACCTAGGCAAGTTCTTCTGTTTAAACCATATTCACGGAGCACCTACTAAGTGCCAGGCCCCAGAGCCAGGAACAGGGCGAGGAGAGTGAGGCACTCACCTTAGGCACAAAATTTAAAGGGGCATCAGAACTCTCAGTCATCAAAATAAATATTTTAATGCAATATTTTTAAAAAATAATTTAAATTAATGCAAAAAAATGTCCATAACGAATAAAATATGGAAAATTTAAATAAGGACAGAATTCACCCTCTACCACTCTGAGTTTCACTCTTATCTGTGAAATGAGTAGAGTAACACCACCTTGCAAGGCTCTTTAAACAAAGATCATAAAGTTACCTTTTACTGAGGTTCCACTTAGCACATTACCTCACTGAATCCTAGGAAGAGGCAATGAGAAAGGTACTGTTGCTTTTCCATTTCACAGATGAGAACACTGAGATTCAGAGGAATTAAGTAACTTTCCCAAGGTCACATGGCAACTGCCACACACTTCCTCCTCTGATCTGTTGCTGGAGCCTCTTGGGCCCAAGTCCCAACCCTAAAAGCTGGCTGCAGGCTGGGTGAATGCTCCCACTAGCCTACCCCACTCTCTGCTACCTGGTAAGGGGAGGTCTGTGCCAGGGCTGACCCCCAGGTGGACCAAGGGCTGGGGCTCACCTTGCTATCCTGCATGTCCTTATTGGCTCCATTTTTGAGCAGAGCCAAGGTGGCCTCCACGTTGTTGACAGCTGCAGCCCAGTGTAACGCTGATTTCCCTGGGGGAGTCAGGAGAGGTCAGGGTCAGAATCAGGCTCATGTCCTGGCCCGCAAGGAGGAGAGGCAGGAAATGGCCAGAATATGGCCTGGCAGGAAAGAGCAAACCTGCCATGAGTATCTGAGCATCTGTGTTTGGGTCCATGTGTGTGTACAGATCCGTAAAATGACTCTCTGTCCAAGGGAGACACTGTACATGTGTGTGCACACCTGTACATGTGACTCTCTATATACAGAGAGAACTACGCAGCCCTCACTTGTTTGTACCTAGAGGTGTGCTGTCCAATGCAGCTGCCACCATTCGCATGTGCCTCTTCAGATTTAAATTAACTAAAATTAAATAAAATAGGTATCAAGAACATTCAATGGGGAAAGAATAGCTTTCTCAACAAATGGAGCTGGAACAACTAGATCTCCATATGCAAAAGAATAAAGTTGGACTTCCTACCTCACGTTATATACAGAAAATAACTCAAAATGATATCAAAGACCTAAATATAAAAGCTGAAACTATAAAACATTTAGAAAAAAACATAGGAGAAAATCTTTTTGATCTTGAATTAGACAAAGATTCTTAGATATAACACCAAAAACAGAAGCAATAATACAACAACAAAAATAGATAAACTGCCCAGCCAGCATGACTCAGCGGTTGAGCATCAACCTATGATCCAGGAGATCAAGGTTCAATCCCCGTCAGGGCACATGCCCTCGTTGCAGGCTTGAGTGCAGGAGGCAGCCAATCAATGACTCTCTCATCACTGATATTTCTATCTCTCTCCCTCCCTCACCCTCCCTTTATATATATATAAAGATCTATATATTTTTAAAAATAGATAAACTGGACATCATCAAAATTAAAACTTTTGTGCTTGGGAGGTCAACATCAAGAAAGTAAGGCCCTCACCAGGTAGTTCAGTTGGTTAGTGTCATCCTAATATACCAAGGTTGCAGGTTCTATTCCCAGTCAGGGCATATATAAGAACCAACCAATGAATGCATAAATAAGTGGAATGACAAATCATTCTCTCTCTCTCTCTCTCTCTCCCCCTCTCTCAAAAAAATCAATAAATTTAAAAAACTTTTTTAAAGGAAGTGAAAAGAAAACCTACAAATTGGGAGAAATACTTATAAATCATATATCTGATAAGAGACATACCTAGAATATATAAGGAACCTTCATGACTAAGTAATAGAAAGACAAATAGCCCAATTAAAAATGGGCAAAACATCTGAATAGACATTTTGCAAAAGAAGACACACAAATGGCCAAAAAGCACATAAAAGATGCTCAACATCATTAGCCATTGGGAAAATGAAAATCAATACCACAGTGAGATACCAATTCACACCCACTATAAACAAAAAGACAGATAATAAAAAGTGTTGGCAAGGATGTGGACATATTGGAACCCTCATACACTGCTGGTGGAAGTGAAAAATGGGGCAGCCACTGTAGAAAACAGTCTGGCAGATCCTCAAAAAGTTAAAGATAGTTACCATGTGACCCAGCAATTCTGCTCCTAGGTATCTACCTAAGAAAAATCAAAAGATATGTCCACACAAAAACCTGTACATGAATGTTCATAGCAGCATTACTCATAATAGCCAAAAAGAAGAAACAACCCAAATGTCCACCAATGGATGAATGAATAAAAAAATGTGGCATATTCATACAATAAAATATTATTTGGTAATAAAAAAGCAATACTGATACACTACAACATTCGTGAACCTTGAAAACATGCTAAATGAAAGAAGCCAGTCAAAAAGAACACCTATTGTCCAGCTCCATTCATGTGACTATCCAGAATAGGCATATCCATAGAGGCAGGAAGTACATTAGTGGTTGCCTAGAGCAGGGGAAATGGGGGTGAGGTGATGGCTAAGAGTTTCTTTCTTTCTTTTTTTTTAATCCTCATTTGAGGATATTTTTCCATTGCTTTTCAGAGAGAGAGAGAGAGACACGGGTTAGTTGCCTCCTGCACGTGCCCCGGTCCGCGGATTGAGCCTGCAACTGAGGTATATGTGCTTGGCCAAAACCGAACCCAGCACCCTTCAGTCCGCAGGCCAGTGCTCTAACCACTGAGCCAAACTGGCTAGGGCAGGGGTTTTTTTTTAAGTGATAGAAGTATTCTAAAATTCATTGTGAGGATATTTGGACAACTATGGGATTATACTAGATGCCCTTGGATTTTATACTTTGAGTGAATTATATCTAAGTAAAGTTTTTTAAAGCAGGCAAAGCAAAGGTTAAAACATTAAATGAAATAAAACATTTTGTTCTCCTCAACCCAGCAACATTACAAACGCTCATTAGACTCCACATGTTGCCAGTGATTACCATACTGGACAGCACAAATAGAATATTTCCATCGTCACAGAAAGTTCTGTTGGACAGTGCTCCTCTAGAGCCATATTTTTCAACCAGGAGTGATACCCCCACCACACACAGAGGGATTAAGCAATGTTGGGAGACATTTTTGGTTGTCACAACTGGGAGGTAGGGTGCTACTAGCATCTAACAGTTCAAGGCCAGGGGCGCTGCTTAACACCCTGCAATGCACAGGATGGCCACCACCACCAAAGATGATCCAATCCCAAATGTCACTGGTAGGTTGAGAACACCTCCAAAAGTTGAGAACACCTACTCCAAAGGATGTTTGTCAGCATCTGAGTGTATCTACTGTGTGAGATCCTCTGGACATGAGGGCAGGTTGTGAATCTCCAGAACTCTGCAATCAAGCCACCTCCAGGGAGGGAGAGGCCACCTCGTATAATTGAGTCTGTTTACCAATTTATTATACCAGCTTCCCAGCAGATGGCAGCAGTAAGTACTTCTAACAAAGCAGGTAGAAATAGAGTACCTTGGGGAAGGGTGCCTTTTTCTAAATCACTGATGTGTGCGATAAGCTAGTGGACGCATAAAAAAAAATGCATGAGAGCCCTAGCCAGTTTTGCTCAGTGGTTAGAGCGTCAGCCTGTGGACTGAAGGGTCCCAGGTTCGATTCCAGCCATGGGTATGTACCTCGATTGCAGGCTCAAGCCCCGGCCCCGGTCAGGGTGATTGCAGGAAGAAACCAATCAATGTGTCTCTCTGACATCGATGTTCCTCTCTCTCTCCCCCCGCCCCCCTCCCATTCTCTCTGAAAAGCAATGAAAAAAATATCCTCTGGTGAAGATTTAAAAAAAAAAAATGCATGAGAGTGTAAGTGCATGTTGCAGCCCTGTTATGTGTAAAGGACCTTCAGTGATTGAGTAGCAATGTGAGTGAGAGTTCACACCAACAAGACAGTCAGGGTCCATGTGACACCCTCTCAGCCCCCACCACCCACCAGCCTACCAAGTTCATCCACAGCATTGACATCAGCATGGCTGGCAATGAGCTCTTCCACCATGCCCTCCACCGCCAGGCGGGCCGCCAGGATCAATGCTGTCGATCCATCTGCCATGCGGGCATCCAGGTCTGTAGAGCGGTTCCGAATGAGAATCTAGGGGAGAAAGGGTACAGCAGAGGGAGTCATGGCAGGAACAGGGGAACCAGGCGTACCTCTAAGCCCTCTGAGGTCCCCAATCTTCACATCCCCTGGAATCAGTGAGATTCAGGAAGCAGCTACTTGCCAGAAACTGTACTCCCATATATCCCCATTTTACAAATGAAAAAAATGAGCTCTGAAAGACAGAACTGGGGCTCAAACTCAGATCAGTGTGATGCCTGTCCCAGCTCTCATGGCCAGAGAGGCAGGCCCATCTCACCTGGAAGACGCCCTGGGCATCGGCAGTGACAGCCGTGTGCAGCGGGGTACGGCCCGAGTGGTCTTGGGCATTGGTGTCTGCTCCGGCATCCAGCAGCCGCTTGGCCGCATCAGCGCGGGCATAGCGGGCGGCCAGGTGCAGGGCCGTCTCACCCGTGCGGTCAGTCCGCGCCCCGAGCTGGGCCCCCTGGCAAATCAGATCGGAGATGATGCTGGCTGATGTGTCTTCTGCCTCGTCCTCCTCAGCTGGCACTGGCTCCAGGGCTGCCCCGCAGAAGGAGGCCAGCATGAGCGGGGTGAAGCCATCTGCAGGGAACGGGAATGTGTCACAGGAAGGTGGATATGGGGCCTTTCCAGGGAATCCTATTGAGGGCACTGTACTGGGAAGCCGTGGGACACATGGCAGCACATCTGCATGCACATGCACACACGCGTCTGTGTCAGGTGCCCCAGAAGCCATCCCAGGGTGAGGATTCATGAGCATCTTGTTTGCCCCAGAGGGGCTCCTAGGTAGAAAGGGGAAAAGGACAAGGAGGGAGGAAGACAAACAAACATGCACCTCAGACAAATTCCCAGGAGGTTATTTCAGCCTGTTCCCAAAGGGGGAGTCTGGAGGCTGAGTTGTACCTGTAGTTATAATCCAGCTAGAGGCAAAGGAGCTGTGCTTTTCAAATACCCACACTCACAGGTTATGAGTGCCCCCAAGGACATAAAATCCCTGAGGGACTTCAAAAGACACAAGCCTTTTGAAGCAAAACAGCACTAGGGGAAGAATACCCTAAAATATGGCAAAGATGGATCCAACAGGATCCAGATAACATGGTAAGCAGCACTCTGTGTGAGCATTTGGCCTGGTTTCCTTAGCGAGACACTTGCACCCCCTTCTCCATCCTCAAGCTCTGGTTAGAGTCAAACTCCTCCCTTAGGGACAGGCATATGGCCCAGGCTTAGTCACTCTGTGTATTCCAGGCCCCAGGCCACACTGATTAGTTCAGGGATGGGCATGTGACCCTAACCTGTCCAATCAGAACTCATTCTGGGACTTTTTCTGGTGCAAATGGGAAAAGGTTTTATAAGGCTGGTCCTGCCTATGGCCATGGTGTCTCTAGTAAAAGCTTGCCTGGGCTGGAGCCAAGGGATGGTAAGTCCTGGATTCAAATGTACATGATGCTTCCAGTTACAAGAGTCAGTAAGTTCCTTATTTTACTTAAGCTAGTATGAGTTGGACTATTATCACTTACAATCAAGAGCCCTGATTGACACATAGTGCCACAGACAAACACCCAGACACACCTAGTTCTCCCAAGAACACAGACTAAGACAAAAACTCTCACAAGTAGGAGAGGGGGAGAGAGGGTGCCATCACTGACCTGGGCCACGCACATTGACATCCATGCCATCAGCATCCACGTCGCCCTGCGGAGGTGTCAAGGCCATAGCTGGTGCCACGCGGATGTCAGCAGCAACTAGGTGGTGTTGAGTCCACTGGCGGCAATCCACAGCATCCTCAGCCCCCACACCAGGCTCCTCTACCTGGAGGCACAAGGACTCAGGTTTTCACAAGGAGTTGGGAGAGACAGAGGGACGGTCTGGGTTTCTCTCACGGAGATGCACACACAGCCCCCCCAAAACCGATTGTTTTCTACATAAGGAAACAGGAAATTGACATACTGGAGCTCAGTGAATGAATTAGAGAAAAAAACTGGAATTTTAATCCAAATTGTAGGGGGGAAGGGCTTGGAACCCTAGGTAGGTGATCAAGGAAGAGACATAGAGCATAGCAACTGTCAGCACACACCTGTCTATACATTGGACACAAACACACCGAAAACAAGATTACGAGGACAATTCTACTGACAACAACATCAAGAATAAAATACTTAGAATTAAATTTCACAGAAAAAATGCAAAACTTAAATTCTGGAAACTAAAAATCATTGATAAAAGAAATGAGGGGCTAGGGGGTCCTTCAAGGATCAGTATTAATCTGGGAACAGGAATATGATCATGAGGTATAGGAACCAAACAGTCACACACAAATGTATCTATGTACCTTCATGAACATAGCAACTGGGCCCCTAGCAGGAGCTTGATAAATTTCATTCATGGTCCAAAAGGCATGAGTGATGTGATGGAAGCAAGACAGAATATTCTTAACCAGTCTGCCAGGGCACTTAAGAGCCTTTGGGCACCAAACACAGAGCCCGATCAAGCTAGACCTGAGCTTAAGGATCCAGGTGACTTCCTCTAAGCCCTCCCACTAACCTTTGGGGACCCACCCAAGACCCTGAAAGCAAGGGTCAAAAGAGGGAGCACAACCTTCAGTCGCTTGGCCTCTGGGCACTCTGTGTCCATCCAGTCTGTTGCTACCTCCCCCATCAGACTCTCGCCCTTGGCCATGTTCCTGTGGAGACAATGGGTAGAGGAGTGGGTAGAGGGGACAATAGAGACATGTGACCTGGAAGAATCTGGGGTGGGGTCATAGCAGAGGTCCTAGAGGTGAGGTCTGGGTCTGGAGTTGGGGTAGGTCAGTAGGAACAGGGGGCAGGGTCTAGACACAGGGTCCAATGAGAGGTTGCAGGATAGGGTCAAGGTCACAGGGGATACAGTCAGGGGTTATAATGAGTGACAGACAGGGCCTTAACGTAGAACTGTGGAAGAAGACAGGAGTGGGGTCAGGGGTAAGAGCAGTGAGCTGTGGAATAGGTGAGGGTCATAGGCATACAACAGGAGTTAGAGAGGATGATGTCATCACAGCATAGAGTTGACTTCATAACAGGTAAGAGATGTAGCCAAGATGAGGAGGTTGTGGAGAGGGGTCAGGGGGTCATGGGGTCAAAGATGAGGGGTAAATTCAGGGGTTAAGCCAGGGTGGGGTTGGGGTCTTGAGAGACAGATCAAGGAGTTGGAGAAGGTGAAACCTAGGGTCAAGGCCAGGATTGAAGGTCATAGGGAATGGACAATGAGTTGGGATGAAAAGGGGATCAGAGAGGAGGTCAAAGATCAGGGTGGGTTAGAGCCAGAGGTGACATTGGGGGTCACAGAGGAGAGGCTCAAGGGTCAGGGAAGTGTTGGGATACCGACAGAGGTCATGGAGTCAGCAGTCATGTGGGAATGAATGCTGAGTATCAGGGTGAAATCTGAGAGGCCAGGGTCGGGGTGGGGTCCAGGCAGGGTCAGGATAGAATTTGAGTTAGAGAAACTGGGACATAGGAAATGGAATCAGGGATCATGAATCAGGGGTGATCCCTAAGGGATCACAGAGTCAATGGTCATGGGGAGAAACACTGGGGTCCAGGCTGGAGTCTGAAGTTAGGGTCCAATTGGGGTCAGAGTCAGGTTAAGGTGAACTCAAGGGCTCACAGGCCCCTAAAGTCAGGGACAGGGAGAGGGCAGGGTCCTCACTTCATGCCCAGCGCATCTTGGCCCACAGGCTCCCGCCGGCCCTTGTGGCCAGTGGCCACGTCCTTGTGCAGCGCGAAGCCCTCAGGGAACCAGAGGGTGCTGTGCTCACGCTTGCGCCGGGCCACCATGACCACCAGGACAAGGATGACCAGCAGGAAGACCGCACTGGCAGCCAGCAGCGGCAAAAGCGGCACACTAGGCTCCAGCGGCTCTAGCGGCTCCAGCGGCTCTCCTGCAGGCAGGACATGAAGGACTTCAACCATGGCCTGGACCCCACCGTGGGAGCCCCGATTCCACCCTGGTCGCCCGCCAGCCGGGCTCACCCCGCACAGCCCACAGTGGGTATGGGAAGTCCAGGCGCTCCACCGCTGACAGTGCTCCCAGGTAGTCAGCCGCACTCTGGGCATCGGGGAAGCAGTGGTCATTCTCAGGCAACTGCAGGCACAGCCGGTTGTCAATCTCCAGCATCACCACTGAGCTGTGGGGACACAGGGGAGGGACAGGCTGGCTCAATTGGACACCTAATGCCAGCCTCACCAAGCCCCATCCCCCCCCCAATGCCAGGCTCCGAAGAGCTGTGTCCACTCACCATGTACCCATGGCCCACCTGCCCCCATCTAGCATCCAATCCCACCACACTCCCCAAACCAGTCTTGCTGTGGCCACCAGTGTCCCTCAGGCCATGGCTCCAATGGGAACTGTTTTCATGTCAACATCTCTCCATGGCTGCTGTTGGCAACATGCCCAAATCTCCCTTATCAGATTGCTGTATCCGTCTCCGGACTGCTATGAGCACTGGCTTCTAACAGCAGAAACCTCCTCTTCTCTGGAGAACTGGCCCCGGCAAGGTGGGAATCCTCTTTCTTGAGAGGTGATACCCCTTAGGGATGCCGTCAGCCAATGACCGGCTAATGAGGGATATACAAAAGCTGGCCCTCTGTCTCAAGGTGGACTGACACTGAGGTGCTACTCATGCTCCAGAGCACTCCAAGGAACCAGGCTGAAGCTAGATACTGGCTGAGACTACCTCCTGCCTCAGTTTTTCCCCTGCTCCACCCTGCTTCCCTCATCCCTCTCTCCTGAGAGCACCCCTTCCATAGGGCACATACATCTGAATCCCCATCTCAGGCTCTGCTTCCAGGAACTCGAACCCTCCAAATCTCTCTTTCCTTGGGATCCTGAATACCCCATACCCCGATCTCTTCCTATTTCTCTAGCTGCCCCTTTTCCTCTTGTAACCACAGAACCAGATCAAACTGGTCCTACCCTGTTTCTAACAAGATCCTGGAACCAAAGTTTAAACCTTGGATAGCCCTGGCCAGTGTGGCTCAGTGGTTAGAGCATTGGTCTGCGCACCAAAGGGTGACAGGTTTGATTCCTGGTCAAGGGTTGCAGGTTCCATTCCTGGCCCCAGTCAAGGCTCATTCAAGAGGCAACCAATCAACGCGTGTCCCTCTCATCGATGTTTCTCTGTCTTTCTCTCTTCCCACCCTTTTCTCTCCCCCTCCCTCCCTCCTTTTCTCTCTCTAAAATCAATGGAAAAAATATCCTCAGGTGAGGATTAACAACAACAACAACAAAAAACCTTGGATACACCACTCGCGAGTAACACTTATGAATCCTCAACTGTTCTCCCCACAGAACCAAAGGACCAGAACATAACCAGAACCTAAATGCTGGAACACTTTAAGAAGTGAAGGGTCTGCCCTTCATACACTCTCAAACATTTTTCATCTTAGGAAAGGGTTTCTGATTGCAGGTCCAAATATGTCATCAGTGCCCAAATGCAAAAAAAAAAAAAAAGTGAAGGGTCTGTTGTCTATGAAGATCTGGTGCTGAAACCCCTTAAATCTTGCCCAAACCCTGGATCAGGGAGACAGATTTGAGCCTTGCCTCTTGTCTCCTTGCCAGCCAAATTCGTAAATAAAAGTTCTTTTCTCATAAGCCGACACCATAGTATTGGTTCTACGCACGTCAGGCAGCGAGCCTTTGCTTGGTAATGCTTTTCTGAGCTAATTTCCCTCAACTAATCCTTAGGTCTTAGTGTCCCCAGATCATTCTTCTGTCCTTACCTCTCTCCCCATTTCTTTGAGTCCCTCTCATGACTTCAATGATTGTCAACACCCCTTTTGTCTTTCTTATCTCTGTCTTCAGCCCCCGGCTGCCTTCTGGGGGTCTCCAGACTCCTCAGATTCTACAAGCCCCAAAGCAACCCTATTTTTCACCCTGTGTCCTCAGTTTGATGAGACCCTCCAGACACTGGGTCACCTCAACCAGGGACTAGCATATCAGCCACCCTCTTCCATCTCCCCTAGTCCAACTGCATCCAGTCAGAGCGCCAGCCCCCATCTCTAAAACCCGCCCTTCCTCTATGTTAGGGCCCCACCCTGCTCCCAGGCCACACTTCCCTCTGACACTGTCTGGCCTGGCAGACAAGTTCATCAACAGGAGAGTTCTATGTTTTTCATTTCTAAAAAAAATGACACATGTTCTTAACTACTCTGCTATATTCCTGCCTCTCCAGAAGGAGGTAGGTCTATAACCAGGAGCAATTCTGCTCCCCAAATGACCCTTGCCCATATCTTGGGGGTGGGCTGCTACTTGTATCTAGTGGGTAGAAGCCAGGGATGCTGCTTAACATCCTATAGCGCACAGGACTGCCCTACAGCAAAGAATGATCCTGCCCCAAATATCAATGCTGTCAAGGTGGAGACGTGCTGGACTTATTGCCAAGAAGGCTCCCCAAGATGTTAAGGGCAGTGAATCACACCAGATCTCATCCACCGTGCCCCCTGCCATTCCCCACTCAGCCTACGCAGCCCCCACAGCTCTCCGGGGTGGAGCCACTCACCCAATCACCTCAGGGGCCAGCTCCCGCAAGTTCAGGACTTCAGAGCCAGGGTCCTGTCGGTGGTAAGGGAAGACCATGGCCTGGCCGCGCTCGTCCAGGCGGAAGCGCAGTGAAGTGCGCAGGATGGCGCTGAGCCGCTGCAGGAAGTCGGCGCTGGAGTGCAGTAGCTCCTCGGGGGGCAGCAGCACGGTGAGCACCAGCATGCCCCGGGCCAGCAGGGCCGGCACCTCCCTTGCGCAGTCTAGCCCATCCCAGCCGCACTCCTCCGTGTTGCAGCCCTGGTCGCACCGGCCATCTGCAAAGTGGTCTGCGCAGTACTTCTCATAGACCGGACTGGGGGCAGAGAGGGGGCACGGTCAGGGAGCCTCCAACCCCGTGTACACAGAGCACCTCAACTCCGAAGACAGAAGGGGATCAGAGGACTAGACAGCAGGCACAGAGGACTAGAATGTGCCTGAATATGCCAGGCTTTCTGAAAATTCAGCTATTCGCTCAGCAACTATTAAGAAATCACTAATGAGGGTCAACGGGGAAAAGGGGGGACATCTGTAATACTTTCAACAATAAAAGTAAATTAAATTTAAAAAATCACTATTGATAACACCTGATAGGTGCTGAGCACTGCTGTAGGCACCCAGGATATGCCCAGGCACAAATCCTTGAACAAGTAAAACTGGTATTCCAGTGGTTGGGGAGAGATGTTAAAGGAGACAAATGAGAGAATATAACAGCATTTCATTTACACAGCAGCAAAAGCTAAATGTAAACACACACATACACACACACACACACACAGAATGCTTTGTAAAATTAAATGCTAAGGAAAAAAGTAAAGCAGGGAAAGTGCTGGGAGTGGCCAGAGAGGAGATCACTAAGAAGGTGCCGCTGTTTGAGCAAAGACTTGAAGGAGGTGGGGGAGGAGCTATGTGGCTTCCTGAGGGAAGAGTATTCCACGGAGAGGGAACAGCCAGTATGAAGGCCCTGAGGTGGGACCAAGCTGGGGGTATTGGAGAATTGGCAGAGAGGCCAGGGTGGGTGGAGAAGAGTGAGTGAGGGGAAAGTGAGGGGGATACGGTTAGGGAGATAAAGGCGAGAGGAAGGTTCCAGGCAGATAGAGGGACACAGTGGAACAGAAGGGGCAGAGCACAGAATGGACAGATGGAATGCATGGGACAGACAGATGGGGGCATGAATAGAAACAGAGACGGGCAGGATAGACAGGAAAGGGCAGGGACAGCTGTATGGCCATATAGAGGGGCAAAAGGGGTACATGGAGGAACAGAAGGACAGATGAGGGGACATAAATGAACGAGGGGACACAAAGATGGCCAAATGAACAGATATATGGGGCACATGGACAGACAGACTGGCAGACTGGCATACAAACATGCACAGATGAGATCCAAGGATGGGCAACATACAGGTTGGCATTCAGAGGCAAGAAAGGAATTCATGAATGGACAGCAAGATGGACAAACAGGGCACAGGGAGAGAAAGATGGAATGCAGAGGCAGATAGAAAAAGAGAGAGAAGGGGTACATGGATGGACAGATAGATGGGAACACTGGGACAGGCAGGGCACAAGGATGGACAGAGAGGGCACAGGGACATGGATGGAACGAGAGAATTGGCACTCAGCTGGGCAGGACAGGGTACACGAACAACCAGACAGGGCAAATGAATGAACAGCCCAACAAACAGTCTAAGGATGGACTGACACAGGTAAACCAAGGCAAATGAACGGGCAGATAGAGAGGCAGGACCCATGGGTGGTGAGATGTGGCACATGGACGGACAAGACACAGACTGGGGTGAATGGATGGATGGATAGATGGACAGAGATGGGGTCCATAAACAGACAGAGGGGCTCACTTGCAGGTGCGCTCGCGGCCTCCAGCCTGGCAGTCAAAGTTGTCGTAGAGGCAGGCAGGGGAGCTGCAGGCAGGGTCACAGCGGCTGTTGTTGAAGAGGCGCCAGCACTGCAGCGCTGCGCACTGCCGCCAGGGGTCGCCCACGCTCAGGGAGCAGTCGCCACCATCCCAGCCACAGCCAGGGCTGTTGCACTCGCGGTCGCAGTGCTTGTCCCCGCTCTTGGCCTCGCAGGCGGCACTCGGGCATTGCGGCTCCTCGGGGGCCTCCGGCGCCGCGGGCACCTCGCAGCGGGGCCCGGCCCAGCCCGGAGCGCACGCGCAGCGGAAGAAGGGAGCGGACCGTTCCGGGATGCAAGAGCTCCCGTGGAGGCAGGGGGAGACCACGCAGCTGGCGTT